GCCGTGATCCCCAAGTCTAGTGCCATCAGCTATAATTTCCTCCAACATTACAGAGGAAATAAAATCTTATAAGGACGTAAGAGATGTTCCTTACGTAAAGATAGGTAATATCTTTCCAGGAATTATTGCGGTCATCCTGTCCAATCCGTTGAGCATGGCATGATCACTCATTCCAAAAAAGAATTAATGACGAATTGAAACCATTTACCTACTTTGGAGAACTCAAAGATCAGTCATCATACGTCGCGGTTGATTCATCTACAGGTTCACTTGTATTGGCTTTAATCCTTTTCAATCCGATCTTCCATTTGCGATGCAAGCAATTAAAGTCTAAGAATGGTGCCTAGAATCCATGAACTCCGCCTAGCTTATTAAAACTATGGATCGACTTAACTGGCCTTGATTTTATTGGTTCATGGTTATTAGCACAAGTACCTACAAAGACCCAGTGCCATTTAATAAAACTCTTCATTAATTTTCAATCAACTTGGTCATCCAAACATTATTTTTCCAGATCGTCCACCCAGTGGCTCAACAAGTCGTCCACGCTGCCCCAGTGGTATCCCAACCGATAGTCCACGCTGCCCCAGTCGTCTCCCAACCGATAGTCCAAGCTGTCGCCCAACCGGTCTACCAACAAGTCCACGCTGCGCCGGTAGTGCAGGCCTACTCGCAGCCGATTGTGCAATCCTATGGCCACGGCTGGTAAACGCATCTAATAATATGAGATTGTAAATATTTTGTTCTTCCCTTATTTAAGCGTTGAGATCATTTCCGTGCTGTTGTTGTGGTGCTAATAAACAGTTTTGCTATCAGTATTGAACATTTGCTTTTTTTTTTCCTTAAATTCACACTAGAAATTTCATACGAAAGAAAGTAACCTTTTTACGAATAATACTTACCTACCCATAACTTTGAGAGATCCAGGGAAAACCACACAAAAATTCACGCAGGCAAAGCCGCCGGAAAAAGTCAGAGTTTCCTAAATACATAACCCTTTAGCAAATGACATTACACGAAAAAAGTGGGTCTTAACCCTTAAGTAACATCCTTATTTTTGGTTACACATTGAACACCCTGGGGTAAAAAAATTACCCCAAACGGAAATTGATTTTTTTTAAAGTAAATATTGAAAATAAATTCAATTTGTAATTTAAAATGTATTAGCGGGCTGACTAAATTATACGATTGCCTTGAAAAATCGTCTGTCTCGCGTAAAAAAACATTTTAAAACAATCATAACAAAAAACAAAGAATTTTTCATTTGCTACTATAGTTTCTACAATGACCTTCTAGAAAAATCTTGAAAAGTTATTGTGGGAACCAAAAACTTACACTAATCGGACATCGAATAGCTGCTTTATACAATTTTAAACTCAAAGTTAAATAAAACGTAAATTTTTGAACTTTTATCAAAGCAAAAAAAAATAAAAAATTATAAAATTATGAGAAATTGTTTTATTTTATTTTATTTTATTCCTAAATATTATTTTCAGAACACATCAAACACACTGAATTATTACGTAATTATCATTTTGGAGTTATATTTCTGTGTCGAATTTATGAACGCTCTGTTCTGAGGGGATGTCTTCGAAGTTCGAAAAGTATCATGTAAATCAAGCTCTATTTATCTCTACATTCTCAAGACAACGTGCTACTTGATCGTCATATAAATATTTACTCATTTTGTTTAAATATAATAAAAACCTATTAATTACATGTTAGGTTATGATAAATTAAAGCATGCGTAACTAACACCCTGGGGTAAATTTCTACCCCACCTACCTGTAAAAGCCAAACGGATGATTTTTGTCACATCCCGCGTCTACGAGCTTAAAGCGCACACTCTGCATTGAGAATACACAAAACGACATTGCTCTAGCTTCAATAGAAAAAAAGATATGCCAATTTTTATACGTCTGGGGTAAAAAATTACCCCACGGTGTTACTTAAGGGTTAAAACCAACAGTTACGACCACCATATTGCTGTGAAAAAATCGTTTAGCGATGACCTTGAGATTACGTAGGAAAACAAAAATAAACCGTACGAATATGGAGCAGAATCGTGCGTAGGGAGCGCAAAGTCACGCTATGAATGAGAAAACGCAATAAATCGGAAAGGTTACGGTTTTCCTGTTGAATCGATAGCGCAGCGGCACATCACTAGCCATCGCGTGACAAACGGAGCATCACTGTGCGGCTACTATCTTGTGAATCAACTTTAGAGTAGAGTGACCACAATTTTTTTAAGAATACACACTTAAATGTCGATTTTAACCATGAACATATTGTTTGGCTCTACAATTTCCCTTCTTTAATAGAGTTGTCAGCAGCAGGACTTCAGTAATCTTTAGGAAAAAAAAACTCTATTCCTCTAATTGATATTAGCTATACCCACCTCCTGTTGTTTTTAAAAGCGATAATACCCGTAGCATATTAAATTATGCTATAAAACCTACACCGTATTAACACCTTTGCTGCGGCAGTAACTTTCTAATAC